TCACGTGACTTTTTTGGAGTTGACTGGGGGGCAAACAGGCGGTTGACTGAGGGGCAACTAGCGGATGTTAAGTCAAAATGAGTCCTCAATCTATTGTATTGGAAGTGACGTCTATTGATAACAACTTATAGGGCAACCATCATGATAGAGGAATTATATAGGAAAACAAATTAAGGTGCGCGACATTCTCGTCCCCACAGATGCGCTAGTTGCCAGACGGGCTTTGGGAAAGAGAATGGGCGCGCGAAAAAAATGTTCAGTGTGTTTTTGAATTTTCTGTTCGTTTGCATTATTGAGCACAATTTCTTAGACTAGCTCTTTGGCTCAGGTCAAACGTCGAACTTCACATGAGCCGAACCTAATTGAAACAGTAGATAGCAAGGCGGTCTTCTTTAATGTCATTAGGTTAGGCTTGTGTAAAGATAAGACCTTAGTCTAACCTATTTTGTTCGATAAATGAAATATTTTTCGGGTTTTATTTTAGTTTGGCACTATTGTCTAAATTGGGCTCCCTGTGGTCTAAGCTTTTTTTTTATTTATTTGACTTTTATTTTTAACAATAAAAGTCAAATGAATAAAGCGCCCTACAAACGACGAGATTTGAGCGAAGCATTCATACTATGATTCTAGGATAGACTCTGATAAACTGATTCAACGTCGAAGCGGTTTTACTTTACCTCCCCTCCCATCCCCTCCTCTTTATATATCATAATAGTTAGCCGCCAGTCCACTCACGGCCACGATCCAATATGGCGGCGGCATTGGTGAAGAACGTGGAGGCGTTAGCAACGTCTCTTTCTGCTTTCAAACTGTTCCAAAGAGTACCAGGTATAGATTTAATGTGATCAGGATATATATTGAGTAAAGATTAACACTAATATTGTTAATACATCAGCATGTACAACCCTTCATCCAGTACTACAGTCAACAAGAACTCTACACACTTCTGGTACGTCACCTTGTTAGTTTATCTCTTCATTCTAGTGTCTAGTTCTATAGCCACACGGTTATAAATATTTGATTGTTTGTTTTTATTTGAACCGAACACCGACTATCAATGAGGTCTTGTTTAATATTGTTTTAGTGATGTTGCAAGGTGGACGACCAAAGAGTTTCTGGAGAACGAAAAGACATCCTGCTAATACAAGGGTAAATTACATCAGTAGTAATACCCCTCCCTACCCACCCCTCCCTCCTGACAACAAGGCACTTATCAGGTATGAAGGAAATGGAAAAAATATTAGGGATACCACAGGTAGCCCAAGCTTGGTTTCTGTGGTGTCCTGTTATAAGGAAATGTATGGGGATTCATCAAAAATTTCAATAAAATCATTGAAACGTGAAATAAAGCCTCAACATTTTACCCGATCATTGATAAATAGCACTTCTTTTGCTCTGCATGGTTATTTTTTGAATTTAGCCCGTTTTAAGATTTTTTCCCCCACCAGTAAGAAATAAGAGAAGGTTGGAAACTCGAGTCCCAAAAGCAAACCATCACGAGTCTTTGAAACCTTGTACGTCTTCGAATTTTCTTTCCAGCACCAAATTTTAGTCATGACCCTTCTCTCACATCCCTATAGAACCGAGAAAGTCGCATTAGAGATTAGTCTTTGCGTCTTTAAGCCATGAAATTTGCCTGTATTCACATACTACCTCACTTGTTCTGACCCGTACTTGGAGCTCACTGTACACCAGTTCAACGGATTTCTTTCAGCAACCGACCCGAGGTCAAGCCGGAAGTCTTCGTATCGTAAATGCGGGTTAGATTTGGATACAGTCTTTCTTCGTCTTGGTTCGCTTTTGGGACTCGAGTTTCCAACCTTCTCTTATTTCTTACTGGTGGGGATAAAAGTCTTAAAATGGGCTAAATTCAAAAAAATAACCACGCAGGGCGAAAGAAGTGCTATTTATCAATGATCTGGTAAAATTTCGAGGCTTTATTTCACGTTTCAATGATTTTATTGAAATTTTTGATAAATCCCCATACATTTCCTTATAACAGGACACCCCAGAAACCAAGCTTGGGCTACCTGTGGGGATACAAGATACCAGTATTTGAGATTAGAGGGATATTTGAGCTCATAATGGTGAGTATGAAGTCTTATTAGAGAGCTATAGGGATCAAAAGGATTGGAAAAGATATCCAGGGCAACTACATATAGGGATCAGCCTTGGTGTCACACATAGTCTTCTGTTTGACAACCAAAATTTTAATTAAGTGGAAGTAGGAGAAATGGGAATGAAGACTGGACTATTACTTCGGCATTTTAAAAGTTCACTTGTGCATAAAATAGTTCTCTGGATTATTCAGTTCATTTAACCATATTTCACACCACCTATGTGTCACTATGTGTTATTACAGCTTTATTTTATGCGTTGCCCAGGTGTTTTTGATAGTATTATATTTTTTGCTTTCCCTCCCCCTTCCCCCTCTGCAATCCAGCCCATCTTCCATCGAGAAAATGTTCTTTAGGAGTTTTGGATTTCCTGACAAATCTTAAATTGACAGTTTGAAAATACTTTTTCTTTTTCTTTTTATAAGTTACATGACCTTAGATTTAATATTATTAATTTATTTTGCTTATTTTTAGATCGATCATAATCTTCCAGAAAAAATTAAAGACAGAAAAGCATTTGGAGGCCACAGAAAGTTGAAAGCATTGAGGATTAACAAGGGCTGCTTCACATGGGATTCACTTGGTAGGACACTTTGCCAACCCCTTTAAAAATCTGTACAATGAGGATGAGGACATCTTCTGTAAACTAGTACCAAAACCTTTCTGAAGTTTACTTTTTGAAGTTTTCTTTGAATTTCTAAACAATCAGCAAAAAAATATTTTGGAATACACTCCAAAAAACTTGTTAAAGTCATCACTGTCTTATCACTGCATGCCACAAGTACAGCAGTGGTGCAGCTCAAAGGGATTGAACTAAAAGCATGTGAAGGTGCCTGTGGCAACCACTACACAGTCTATGACCCTGGGCCACTGATTTTGAGATGAGTGGGTAGAAATTATTGGATTCCATCCATGCCTCCCCTGAAGTATTATTATTCCAATGGATTGTTGTTCCAAAGGCATTGACCTGCGACTAGAAATACCAATAGGTCAGCTTACTTGGCTTATCTTACAGAACTAAACAATAAATCTATTTTTTAAACCAATATTTCCATTCTTATCCTAAAGGTGTGGACCTGGAGACACCAATTGTTAGTGTAATTCACAGCTATGCAAACAAACAGCATGTCCATAAAAATGTCATTGTCAAAGGAAGCATTGTTCAAATAGATGCAAATCCCTTTAAAACATGGTGGGTATAGAACAAAGTAATCAGTCTTTCTCCATTGTCTGCACTTTATTAAGATATATTACTGGACAATATAGTGTAATATTTTGCGTAGTTTTCTTTTTTTTTTTCTTTTTGTCTAATAGTCCTTTGATTGTTGGAGTTTTCTTATGTAGCTGCATGTCTTCTGAGTGTTTAAATATTGATACTTACAGGTATGAAGCGCACAAAGAACAGCACAATGAGGTATTGATTTGAAAGCTTGTGAATGATTGATTGTAGTCGAACGTACAAGTTATTTATAATTTCAACTTTGGTGTAAAGAAATGACATAACCAAGCCTGAAAAGCACTATGGGTGATGTGAATTCAATCAGTGAAAGGTCACAACAATATAAAATTTTACCAAATTTTGTCTGTACGTTTTCTGGCATATTTTCTTCTGTGCTGATTCTATTTAGATATGAATGTAAGCTTAGTAAGCAACATGCAACAAATCCTTCACCAACCTTTTTCAAAAATAGCTGTATTCTGTTTGTACAACATGTACATGTTGATACTCAATGTTGATTTTATGGTGGAAGACAACTGCATCAAACAAATGCTATTCATTCTGCCCTGTTTCTGACAGAAATCAAACAAGAAACCTAACATGTAGGACGCGGTGGTGAAAAACATTTTACTGCTATGCTACCCTTACATTGTTATTTATTTTAGTAGCTTAGCATTCTGTGAATGAAATTTTTAATTGTTCCACAGGAAAAACTACAATCCTCTCAAGACAACAATAACATAAAATTACTAAATGAAGATGTATTATATGGTAAATGCCTTTTAATTTGCTGATTCAAAACCATTTCTTTAAAGATTCATTAACAATTCATCACGATTGTGTCAGCTGATGATTATTTTACAATAACATGCGATGAATTATTTGTTTCAGCTAAAATATCAACAAGACCCGGTCAGGTTGGAGCATGTAATGGATATATTTTAGAAGGAAAGGACCTTGAAGATATTCAGAGTATTATCAGTAATAGCAATACAGTCAAGTAAATCAGTCATCAACAGAGCAGAATTTATTCATGTTTTTTTTCCACACTCATTTGCTTAACCACATATTCATATACATGTAACTTTCAAGTTTTCTTTTAGATGGATGTAAAACCCTGCCCAGTTTTTAATGTTGCAATAATTTAAAAAATAAATATTTTCTTTGGTTGAGGCAATTTGTGGGTTACATTTGTAATAAATGAAAAGTCAGTCTTCTTTGTCATCAGGTGTTCTCCTAAAAACAAGCCACACCCTTCTTTCAATGGTTTTGTAGATATACACCATTCCAAGACCAACAGCCTTTCCACTGTTCAGAACATTAGACCTCATAAGAATCAATTGAGCTCTTAGAGGGTCCAGTCTTACGCTCCTTTCAAAAAATTCTCCAAGCGTTTGGAAAAAGGTCTTGATAAATTCAACAATTCGTGAAGAATATAGCATTTGTCCAAGTAAATCACGCACAACAGACCATACTGTAGTAAATATATYGTACATGGGCTTCAGAACGGCTGTTGGTGCTTTGATAAAAATAATTCCCAACACATGAAAACACGGTTGAAATATGCTGATGAACGGCTGAAAGGTGACTCTGACTACATCTAATAAACTGGATAGTGCTGAGAACAATTGTTGACCGCATGCAACCAAAGGCGTAGCAAAGGAAGAAATGATAACATAAACTGGTTTTAGGTATGCAAGCCATTGCTTGGTGAATTCCTCAAACACGGTATTAGCTACTTGAATGAACTTCTCCAGAGATTTGATCTGAAAAATAAGCATATCGATGACCGGGCGAACATAAGCTCGTATAAAATCTACATGGCGATATAGTTGCCATAAGGCCCACAGAATTGAAAAAATGGTATAGAAAGTAAGAACAAACTCGATGGTTCCCCGGACAAAGGGTGTGTACACTTTAATGGGAATGTACTGAACCCAGTCTGGGAGTCCCTCGCGTAGTTTGGAGCTGTTGTAATCCAGCAATTCGTGTTCGTTTTGATCAAGAGTTTCAGCATCCGCAGTTATCTTTGCTTGTCTAAGAGATCGCATAATGTCTCGAACTTGCCCAGTGTAGTTAACATGGAATGTTAGTTCTGCCACTAGAGCATCAACACAGCTGATGTCTTGATCGCTTCCCGAGATTTCTATTTTTCTCATACATTCTAAGGTTAATACGCAGTTCATTGCATCCAGGCACCCAAACTTAGTAGTAATCCTCAGATCAGCGGCAGATATATCGTCCAAGTAAAATAATTTACATTCTTCGTGATCAAAGTGTTGTCGGTCATGGAAGACTATTTTTAAAGAGGTACAAGAAGGTGTGTATTSTAGCCATCTTTCTTCACTGCGAATATCCCATTTTCCACATCGTATTCTAGTAACAGGTATTCGTACCGTCTGGCCAGATCTAGAGTATTTAATGGGTGAGCTTGGAGGTGAGGATCGGCTGGATGTGATAGTATTACTTGATCCATCCATCGAACCTCCTTCCTCTGACCCTTCCGCCATTTTTTTTGACAGATGTCTGATGTAAACAAAGGGCGCACGCATCTATTTATGAACAAACATGCTGAACTGATCGTGGGCTCATGTTATGAATACTGCTGACAGATTGAGATGCGGGCTCGTAGGAAGAAGTTTGTGAAGATTTGAAGAAGAACGAAAGAAGAATGTATTGAAAAACTGGGTGGATTCACTACTGRTTGCCGCTAAATAACAAGATACTAGACCTAAAGGAGTTTAATATTCGGTAATTGATGGCTGAGGTAAGTTAATGTTATGTTGTGGTATGTTAAGGGTGTTGGTCTTAGAACAGGCCTAGTATAACAGAACAACATTAATACACACACATACATGCTTACTGTGATGCTGTCTGTCTGTTTTTCATTCTCTGCCAATAGATTAATATATGCCGGTGTCTTTGCCTGCATTCTCGGGGGAACCAATCACTTGTGTAAGCTTTGTTCAGAAAGATTATTTTCACGTTGATAAGTAAGCTTAAAAATATTCTAAGTGTAATTTTCTACGAAGATTAAACTAAAGGATAGATGTATTCTACAATATGAACATGTATATTCCCATGTGGAATTATATTCCCCTTACAGTAGATGACGTGCACATACAGTGCTGTACATAAAATTATATACAATCATATCCACTGTGAAATTTACCTGATGATATGCTCTGTTATAAGGAATTTCACCAGAATGCCCTTGCACTCAAGGAGGAAGGTAATGATTACTTTAAGAAAGGTGATTATGAAGCAGCATTAGTGAATTACACCAAAGCACTGAATTTGTACTCATCTGGCGACAAAGATAAAGAAAGACTGCAAGATAAAGCAACAGTATTGAAAAACAGGGCAGCTTGTCACTTGAAACTGGTGAGTATTGATCAACAGATTCATGGGTATTGAAACTATTTTATGCAGGTTTTTATACAAAATGATTAACAAAGGTACAGTTTTTTTGTTGGGGTGGGGGGGGGGGGAGCTAGGGGCATTGCAGTAATTTGGTTGTGGCCTCCACCCTTTTCCTTCAGTAAGAAGTTCATGACCCTCCTATTAAATCAAGAAGAGAACTGAGCTTTGGTCAAAATGAAAATGAAAATTCAAATTTTCACTGATAACCCTCTCCTCTGAAGCCCTAACCCTTTCCCTGATAAAAAATGTACAATTCCTCAGAACAAAGTCTAGACCTGTTATGCTTCCAGTGATGACATAACTAACAATTACCTGCATGGCTAGCTCAGATGAGTGATGATTCATGTAGATAATGCTAGTCAAATGTGAGCGTGATATGATTTAATTAATTCAACAGGAAAATTATGAAGATACAGTAGAAGATTGTACAAATGGTAAGTTGTATTACTATAGTAGAAAGAATAAAAAACATCACATTAACCAATCAAATAACCCTTGTCTACACTGCCAGACAATCGTCTGATAAGCTGTGGAAAACATAAGCAGTGATTACTGTTGGAATTTTAAAGTGTTTATATATAGTGTTAGGAAATCCAAAACAAAATAAACCAAAAATCAATCTTATCAAACTAATGGATGTTGGTGATGAGGGCCTGAGCTGGGTGAACCTTAGAATCACAAATGATACTTACATGTACAAGGGAGGCTAACTTAAAAGCAACTCACAGGGGGAATACATGTACAGTTTATTTAGCATGTTACATCATCTTCTTTCTCACAGCGTTAGAAGTATTAGTAAATGATTCGAAGGCCTTGTACAGAAGGTGTCAAGCACTAGAGCATCTTGGCAGATTAGAAGAAGCATTTAAAGACATTCACACTCTGACAAGGATTGAGCGTAAGGTAAAATACACCAGATTAATTCACTGCTTGTATTCTTGCTTTGCATTGATTTGTTATTTGATAAACGATAATACAGTATAGCGCTATGAGGCATTGAATATATACCAGAAATTAGGTTGATACTTTCATCTGATTGTAATGTTTCTCAGAACTCATCTTTTCAAGTAGTGTTAAGAAGACTTGGTTCACAGTTGCAAGCTAAGGTTAGTTTTTCTGCTGTACATTATTGTGACATCATCAGACCAAGGCTAAAACTAACAACTGGTTAATGTCAATGTTATCTCAATATTAGCAAGAGGGATGGAATGCTTTATGAAAAGTGTTGGCTGGTAAGCTGTTGCCGTCTAGTGCATTTTCCCAAGTTTGTTTTGACAACACTGCTTGTTTTGAGAGGGTAGCTATAGCCTCACTTGGCCTGTTAATGCAAGTCATCTATTCTTGATGAGAAGTTATGATCATTTTCTATATAATAAATGAAATAATGTCCTTAAGGTAAATAGAAGTCAAATCTATAGAGGAGACAACATGACCAGTATCATTAGATTAATACATTTAACTGTGTTCATTAAAGTCTGAAAAAGTGAGAACCACAGATGGTTTGGTGAGTGAGATGTTTACATCATTATTTGGAGACAAAGATACAGAAGAAAGAAAAAAGAAGGTATGTTTTTGTCCTACTATATACATATACTAGTTGTTTCTAATAAAAAGTGAAATGCTGCAAGCTGTAGTAATCATTAGTATCAACCCGTGAAATAGATATCACCATAATATAGTGTTAATTAATCATTATTTTTGTAAGCTCATTCATAGTCATGTTTAGCTATAATTCACCCGGGGGGGGGGGACTCCGGTAAAAAAGTTACTGGGGATGCTCGTCGGAAATTTTCAAAAAGACCCATAAAAGATACCGGAAGTTTTAAAAAAAAGGCGTGGCTGAATGATTTTTAACCCCTAAGAGATACCACAACAAATAATATTAAAAGCGCCTAGGATAAGCCATACCAATGCATGCTTCTCTCCTTTTCCGACACCCTAAGAGATACCAGAAAATGCTGGTTTTCAAAAATTTGCATTTAACACCCTAAAAGATACCAAATCGCGAATGTTTACCCTATGAGATAC